GGATGGAGCAGTCCCTGGATGACTAGAGGACCGCAGTGGAGCTTCGGGTCTCGAGATTCTGCTCAGGGTCAGAGAATGAACAAAATGAGATTTTTGCTTCTTAGTTGATAAAAATTAGCTAATGCAACACAGTTGTTGAACATTTTGTTGCATGAAATCAGTTTAAATTTGTTAAAAACAAACATGAAAAAATATTAAATGTGTGAAAAATCAAGATCCAGACCAACAATTTAATTTGATTATGTTTTTCCATCATCCAGCCTCTGTATTAAATTAAAACATAGTTAGTTTTTATTCTTTATTTCTTATTGTACACCAGAAAAATATCGTTAGTAAATGTTAAATAATGTAGTATTATTTTAATATTTTTGTATTAAATGAATTGAATGCTAAATTAATTTGTAGCTAAATTGAAATACAGTAAGAAAACATCATCTTTTTGTTGCAAAGGCTTCGTTGCATTTAAAATATTCCTCAAGTTAATTAATATATGACATTTTATTTTGAGTGAATAAGCCAGGCATAACTTATTAAAACATGGTTTGTTGTTGGTAAGATGTTTCTGAAAAAAGTTTCTTTTGCTCACCAAGGCTGCATTCATTTGATAAAAAGTACAGTAAAAACAGTAATATTGTGAAATATTACTGTTCAAAATAATAATTTTCTATTTGAATATTTTAAAATGTAATTTATTCCTGTAATGCAAAGCTGAATTTCCAGCATCATTACTACAGTCTTCAGTATCACATGATCCTTCAGAAATAATTCAAATATGTTGATTTGCAGCTCAAGAAATATTTCTTATTATTATCAATGTTTTTTTGTGGAAATTGTGATAGTTTTAGGATTCTTTGATGAATAGAAAGCTTAACAAAAAAAAATGCATTTATTTGAAATAAACTCTTTTGTAACATTATAAATGTTTTGGGTCACTTTTTGGTCAATATAATGTGTCCTTAAAAAAAATCCTACTGACCTTAAACTTTCAAATGGACAGCATAGACTGCATAAGAGCTGCTTTGCTTTTTCTTTTCTGTCAGCCAAGGAGGTCTAAAATACCTGCAGTTTCTCATTCATCTAAATAGCATTTGGATGGTCGGCTGATTCATGCAGCTCAGAAGCACACAACCTGGATGCTGCCATCTTCACTTCATGGACAGGCAGCTTTTGTTCACTGTTGAAGCATCTACTATACTATAATGATTTTTTTATTTTTTTTGCAATTGCAATTTACATTTTCGAATGATCATCAATGGAGAGAGATGTTTTTTATCCCACACGAGTTTGAGTGGAATCTGTACATTTAACATTTATACAGTGGGTATAGAAAAGAATCACCCCCTTTAAAATAATCACATTTTGTTGCTTTGCAGCCTGAAATGAAGATGGACACAGTTTTTGTTTTATCCAGCTGTATTTACTCAGTGCAACTTATAACATCCAAGTGAAAAATATAACACCAACATGTCAGAAAAAAAAACAGAATCACTGATATGGAAAAAGGATCACCCCCTCCTAAAAATGACTTAATTGTAAACTCAATCAGGCCTATACAGTCACTCAGTTTGGCCTTGAGGCCTTCAAATGCACCCAGCTCACATATGAGGCAAACTAACTTTCACAAACAAGCAAAGTAACTTCTTCAATTGTTTTCTGTAGGGTAAATAAAATATTTCATCACCCTCTGGCAGAACGTTGTCTATGGGAAGAAGGTTTACCTTCCAACATGACAATTACCCAAAGCACACAGCAAAACTGACCACACAGTGGTTGAAGGAGAAAAAAAGGTGAATGTCCTTGCATGGCCTAGTCAGAGCCCAGACTTAAACCCCATTTAAAATCTGAGGAATGACTTGAAGACAGCAGTCCACAAACGCTCGCCATCAAATTTAACTGAACTTGAACAGTTCTGCAAAGAAGAGTGGGCAAATATTGCAAAGTCTAGATGTGCAACGTTAGTAGAGACAGAGACATATCCCAACAGACTAAAGACTGTAATGAAAGCAAAAGGTGGTTCAACAAAATACTGACACAAGGGGGTGATCCTTTTTCCAACTCAGTGATTCTGCTTTTTTATTTTTTTTCCTGACATGTTGGTGTTATATTTTTCACTTGGATGTTATAAGTTGCACTGAGTAAATACAGCTGGCTAAAACAAAAAATGTGTCCATTTTCATTTCAGGCTACAAAGCAACAAATTGTGATTATTGTAAAGGGGGTGATTATTTTCTATACCCACTGTATATCAGAATAGCAGTGTAATATTTAGGGCTCTATTTTAACGATCTAAGTGCATGGTCTAAAGTGCAGGGTGAAGGTGCACTCAGGGCATGTCCGAATCCACTTTTGCTAGTTTAACGACGGGAAAACGGTCGGCGCGCCTGGGGCGCATGGTCTAAACAGGTTGTCCCTATTCTCTCAATGAGTAATGGGTGTTTTTTGGGTGTAATGTGCAATAAACCAATCAGAGTCTCATCTCCCATCACCTTTAAAAGCCAGTTGCATCCCTGTGTGTGTAATAAGCAAAGTGTACGCGTGTTGTGCACCCGCCTATAGGCCCATATTACTAACGCGCTCTGTAAATTACAAAGAAAAAATATTGCGCCAGACTTTAGACCAGGTTTGAGTTGGTCTATGGCGCAGTCTATTTTCAGTTCCTCAAAATAGCAACGCGCCAGCAATGCGCCTGAACACACCTCTTTTTTAGACTAGCACGCTCCATGGGTGCACAAATGGGCGCAAATGCATTTGCTATGTAAACAACGCGGCGCAGGACGGGAAAATGAGAACAGCATCAGGCTGAAACTAGCAAAAACATTTGTGCCGCATTGCGCCGGGTGTATGATAGGGCCCTTAGGGTTTAGATCAGACTCTAACCAGAATGCTATATTTATTCATTAAAGATCATTATTTTTATAAATAATAAAATAAAGATAATTGTTTTTATACATTTATAAAAATATAAATAATTTTATATTTTTTAATAATATAAAAATGTTTGGTTGTGAAACAATAAATGTACTGACTAAAATTAAAACAAATGTCTTACTAATTAATGTATTTTAATAAGCAGCCTAACAGCCAGAGCCAGACAGCTGTATCTACCTGATGGCTGAAATCATATTTGCCCTGAAGAAGTCAGATCACTTCATATGACACCAGGCAAAGACACTGCTCTTAACTAGATGGAAAGAGAGAAACACCTGCTGAATGATCTGGCTCTTCTCCAGTTCACCATCTGTGAGAAAAAATGAGGTATCACTCAAATTCTGACAAAAGAGTTTCAGGTTTTTGCTATTCTTATATCCTGTTTTCAAGGTGTGAGCATTTTGAGATGGAGTGTCTTGGCTTGGGACTGAAGAGGGTAAAATTATTTCAGGTGGGAAATGGTAATTTAGGTCTGACATGTCTTACCAGCTGTCTTGTTAAACGAATAGAATATTGTGGGCATGTTACAACATACTGAAATTGTTCAAACTTTAATTAGAAAAATGCCCCCTAGTCTGAGACTTGATTTATCTTTCAAACACTTTCAAGCGACATCCACCAAAAACTCAGCACCTGTAGTCTCCTCTACATAATGTGCTATAGATTTTCTTACACATTAAATGGATGACAAATTGTTTTTGTTGTAACTTTGGATAAAAGCACCTGCTAAATTAATAAATGTAAATGTTTTATCCAGAGCTTTTGATCAACTGAACTAGATGCAACATGCTCCATACACATGTGTTTACTATTATCTATCTATCTATCTATCTATCTATCTATCTATCTATCTATCTATCTATCTATCTATCTATCTATCTATCTATCTGTCTGTCTGTCTGTCTGTCTGTCTGTCTGTCTGTCTGTCCATCTGTCCGTCCGTCCGTCCATTTACTTATTTATTTATTTATTTGGTACTCTGTTCTGCAAAACCTTATAAGTGAAGTGATTGAGAGTTTAACCTAAATATTTTGGATTTTCATTTTCTAAAATTGTATTCATATTAAGTGAATTATATTGTTAAATAGTGAAAATTAAGCTAACCAAAGTTATACAATGTTTGATTTTGTTGTTGTTGTTGTTTTGCATAAAAAGGTTCATCTACACACATTCAGAGATGCATCTAAATGTAGTATGGATCAGAAACCTGGTATTTTTAACTAAACTATATAGCCCCTCAAACAGCATTTGTTTTAACTGAAGTTGGATTATTTTCTTTAGCTTTGCATTCATCACTAGGTGGTGCCAGAAATAAGCACAGATAAGCTTCCTCTTCACACTCACTGGTGCTTTGTTGTTATTATAAGGCATTGTGCATTGTAGGAAAACTATATAAAGACTATGGCAACAGTCACAAAAGATGCCAACTGAATGACTCCAGATTCAAAATACTGAGCTTTTCATTTGTTCAGTGGACCTTTTGTAAAACCCCTTTCTTTGTCTAGGATGAACAACATATTTTATTCAATTTTAGAGGGAAAGGGCATGAAGAAAAGCTATGAATTTTAAACTCAACTGTGTGTGGAAACTAAGCCTACCTGTTTAGCATGTACTCTAGTCTGAGTGACTGCATGCAACTCATTGCAATAGCATAGGTTTGGTTTCTAATGAATATGATCATATACTATGTGAATTAAACAGTTATTTCTAGGGTGCTCTAAACAGCCCTGTGACAATGTTGAGGATGTTGATGTCATTAGAAGATGGTGGTGTCTAAAATTCAAAGCAAAAAGAGCAACAACAAAAAAAAAAGGAGCAAAAGTTACTAATATGTTACAAATATAGCTTTCTAATAAAAAAAAATCAAGCTATCTGAGTGTTGTTTTAAGTTAACTTAGACAACAAGAAAGACGAAACATTGTATGTATTGCTTTATTTGATATCGAAATTTTTTTATGTGTTTTGACATTGAAATGAAGGTCTAGATGCCGTCAAGAAACTATTTTTGTTTCTCAGACACGCTCACAAAACCATTAGGAGCCGATGGCGTGATGTTGCACGTGTGACGTATGTGAATGTGATGCATGTGGATGTGGAGTAACTGTCCATGGTGCTGAAACCGCCGCAGCGTCGGGATGCGCCTTCCGGAGTCTCGCAGCACCAATGCGCGCATCTTCTAATTTATAAACTCTTCAAATCCATAGAAAGGCTCAAAACTGTGTCGGAATGCTGCCCAACGACACCATCAAGTACCTGGAGGATGGTTTATATCTGTTAAACTTCTCCAGCAACGAGACGCATAACGGGGATTTTCACGGCAGCAGCGCGATCTTCATCTCCTTCATCTATTCCGTAGTCTGTCTGGTGGGACTCTGTGGGAACTCGATGGTGATTTATGTGATCTTCAGGTATGCCAAGATGAAAACTGCGACGAACATCTACATCTTGAACTTGGCGATCGCGGATGAGTTACTCATGTTGAGTGTGCCTTTCTTAGTCACCTCTTCTTTACTTCATCACTGGCCCTTTGGTTCTTTCCTGTGTCGATTGGTTTTAAGTGTTGATGCCATTAACATGTTCACCAGCATCTATTGTCTGACTGTGTTGAGTATCGATCGCTACATCTCCGTGGTGCATCCCATCAAAGCAGCCCGGTACCGAAGACCCACCATCGCCAAAATGGTCAACTTAGGAGTCTGGATGTTCTCCATCCTCGTCATCCTACCCATCATCATCTTCTCCACCACTGCACCCAACTCTGACGGATCGGTGGCTTGCAACATGCAGATGCCTGAGCCCGAGCGTCGGTGGATGGCTATATTTGTGATCTACGCCTTTCTGATGGGCTTTCTCTTCCCTGTCATTGCCATATGCATGTGCTACATCCTCATCATAGTGAAGATGCGGGTGGTCGCGTTGAAAGCTGGCTGGCAGCAGCGCAAAAAGTCCGAGAGGAAGATCACGCTGATGGTGATGATGGTGGTGACGGTGTTTGTGATCTGCTGGATGCCTTTTCACATCGTGCAGCTGGTTAGCGTGTTCGTCCAGCAGCACAATGCCACCCTCAGTCAGCTGGCTGTGATTTTGGGATATGCCAACAGCTGTGCCAACCCCATCCTGTACGGATTCTTGTCAGATAACTTCAGACGCTCCTTCCAGAGGATTTTATGCCTCCGGTGGTGGGATAACGCCACGGAGGAACCCATAGATTACTATGCCACGGCTCTGAAGAGTCGAGGATACAGTGTGGATGACTTTCAACCGGACAATCTGGAGTCGGGCAGCACGTACAGGAATGGCACCTGCACATCTAGAACTACAACGCTGTAGGACTCGGTATTACAGCATAAAGACTTGTTTTGTTATCTGTTGTCATTGCAGTATGTGTTTTTTTGTTGAGATGTATTGGTAAGACTTCATAATAACTTTCGTTAATGCCATTATTAGATTATATAATGCTTAATCTAAAGTTAATGTGCAATTTTGCCTATATGAATGTGCATGAACTTTTTATGCTTATATAATGCTTTGAATGGCTTATTAATGAAAGTTGTTATAAAGTGTGTCGATATGGGTAAAATGTGTGACGTTGGTTCAGATAAAAAAAGAAATATCCACAGCCAAATGGTTGTTTATTTTGAAATGGAATAATGGGAAACCATTCACTCTCAGTGCATTATGTGGTAAAACTAGATTTGTATTTTACGAAGCAAGCTTGCAGTGCTTGCAAAGCTGGATCAAATAGTGTTACAGTTTTCGGTTTTTATGTTTTGGTTCTGTGTACAGAAATGAAATCAGAACCACCTTGCCTTGTCAAAACAGTCATCTAAATTAAGTATGCAAATATATGCAAGAAAGAAGACCAATCGCAGTGCAGTATGCAAATGTTACATCACAGCAGTAGTCATAAGTTTTGAGTAGATTCTGTCAATGTTAGTCAGTGAATTTTTTTTTATGTTACATTTCTTTAAAAAAAATGCAAAAACAAAGCAAATGTTTGAGTCTGCACTTTTTTTATATGGCACAGGTTGAATTTCAATTATATTTCAAGTGAAAATATTGTAATAATTATAAAAGACGGTTCTGAAGCCTAAATGTTAGGTGTTTGATTGTAAACCTAATCCTAATAGTGAAGGTGAGATATCAAATCTGACCTGAAGCCTGTGAGAAACGTTTCCATTGACTGCTGTACTTCTGTTTATGCTGCTGCAGGGAATATGTCTAATACAAAGCTGATTTATGGCTATCCTTAGTGTAATTTATTTCACCCGCAATGTGTTTATTTATTCATTCATGATTATAATTTATGTATTATGTACTTTTTAATTGTGAAATATTATCAAAAAGAAAAAAAAACTCACGGACTATGACATGATCCCATTTTAGACAAAAGGTGAAATGTATACTTAAGTCGTACTCTATTTTCTTTATTAAAGGTGCACTTTTTAAAAAATAGATATATTACTATATGTTAATAAATTATATATTTGAAATGATTTAAAAATACATCTGCGTGATACTGCAATCACACTGATAATTATTAGTATTAGTTCAAGTCTACTGCCATATCGGCCAGAATCATATAAACAAAAATGACTGAGCGCGCCTTTAAAACAGCTGTAAGTGATTTCAGCACCTCAAGCGGCACCAAACGGAACTGCACAATAATAACCTGACTAAACTCACACCAGCCACGCGTCAGTGGTCAGATTCTTCTTTTTGCTGTTTACAAGCAGTTCCAGAAACAAGTATAATCTCCCAGGACACCTATTTCAGCGATATCTGTCAGGTAATACAAACATTTACGTGTGGTACTCAAAGAAACGACCACGGCGTACAGCAGCTTAAACACCCGTCTTTATTTATTCTTTATTTATTCTTATTCTTCAGTTAAAAAGACAAGTTTAAAACTTGTGAAACATAGCATAAATATATCATTAGAAAACACATCCAATGGCAGTATTAACATAATATCTTCAACAGTTCTTACATCGCCACCTAGGTGCATTTAAATATCAGCTATGAAAGAGTAAACAAAAGCAAAATCGAATTACCGTCGATGTGACCTAGATAGGATTTCCAAATCCACATCGGCATAAAGACCCTGATTTCAACTGTGAGACGGAATGGCAAATGAAATTCAAAGGCAGTAATTACACAGCACTCTTGTGACTCCAGAACTCACACCCAAATGTTCTGAGAGAGGAATATCTTGCAAAACGCACCCTCTGTAGTCTGCATGTGTCACATTGAATTATCTTACATTTGCTCAGTCTCTCCCACTTAGGTTTCCTCTTTTTCATTCACCTTCTCCATGGAGCTGGATCCATTCAGAGCCACAGCCTCCACCTTCCTCCGGGCCAGTTTTATGGATCTCCTGCTCAGGCAGCCTTTCACGATGGCTGCCACAATCACCAGCAGCACTATGAAAATCAACAGAGCTATAATCACATGTACTACGATATTTGAAATGTCTCCAGCGCTCTCCTCAATGCGTATGACTGTCTCATTCATTCTGACTTCATCATCAGGCAGAGACGTAGGCTGAGTTAGCCCAGATTTGCCCCTGTTTATGTTTGAATATTCATTGTTTTTCAGATTGGTGGTGGGCGGCTTTGATGGTCCATTACAAATGCCATCGTTACTGTACGAACATAGACATTTGTAGGAGCCTTCTGTGTTCAGGCATTTGTGCTTACATGGATTCGATTCTTCACATTCGTTTACATCCACACAGTTTCCGGACGCATCCTTCCTGTAGCCTTTTCTGCACTCTAGGCAGAGTTGAGATATATTCATGTTTTCGTTGCCGACCAGAGTCCAAACTAGATCTTTGGAGCATGTCAGATTGAACCTGGCACCAGAACGGCAAACAATCTGACGTGTATACGGATCATTTATTGGCTCAATCATGTCATGTGTGTTGAGTATTTCTGGTCGAGGACATGCCACCTTGATGTTTCGTTTGCAAATGAAAGGATGTTCCTGTTTGCAGGCAGCATCCACAAACCCATTGCTTTTTGTGCCAGAGTCACTGTATTCCACTGAAAGCAGCCCACAGCGAAGATTTGCGCAAGTACCTGAAGGTTCGGTTTTCCAGGTTTTAACGTCAGATTGAGTGCTGCTGCCCACCGTCCAGTAGAATCCTTTAAGAGGCAAATGCTGTTCAACACAGATGCCTTTATCCTTCTTCAGTCCAATCCAAAATGACGTGGCGGTTTTGCTATTCACATCCCAGATTGTTTTCAGAATCTTCACCATTTCCTTCTCATTTGGAATGTTGGTCAGGAAACTTCCAGGTTTGCAATAATTCTGAGCATGTTCGAATGAGCGTTGGTTCAAATGAACAGTGTAAGACGATTCAGGCAAACAACGTGCCATGTTGAGGAGACTCACAAGATATAATCCCGTCCAGAGCTCCATGTCGGCACGCTGACTGGAACTAAATGAAACTGTCTGCTTTCTTAGCTGCCCCTGTGAGGTCCTCCCAAGACAACAAGCACAGGAAGTCTGTTCAGCCTTGATACAGCCGTTCACTTCCTCTTGGGTGGTGGTGCTGCCGAAGCAAAACAATCACAACTATGATCAAAATCAGTTGCTGGTGAAACTAATGCTCGCATAATACGCAAACTCCTACAGCAGATTGATAGATGAGCTCAAACTGATGGGAAAAACCTATGTTCCTTGGCACAGGATCCGTTAAATCCAATCGTGGATCCACACCCATTGCCTCCTTGAAGGTTTTAGGTTTCAATACCTTGGGAACATCATAACTGCCTAGCCTAGCATCCCCTCATAAAGATATGTGTAACATTGAACAAGGACTTTTTCCCATGTATTTTACTTGTTCATTGTGTCTGTAACAGGATTCTTTGACAAAACAAACTGGGGGAAAAAAATTCCCAGTAGCACCGCTCATTGCATTTGGGAGTGCATTTTACAGTAGTTCTATACCTCTGTTTACATGTCACACTCAACACTGTCAGATTTGAATGCGTGTTGATTGACATCAGTGTGTGTTTTCAAGGGCTCACATGGGACTAATGCAGTGTTGAATGCCCCATGACTAACAGTATTATTCTGTCCTTCTGACAGGCTGCTTCATGAGGGACCAGCAGATGCTTCCTGGAGGAAATGTCAATGAATGTCAGGAAGTGAGGTTGCGGGAACATTTGATTTTATGTTCTACAGTCTGGAGGGTCAGGGGGTGGGGAATGAGGACAGGAAATGGAATTATGGGTAATAGGAAAAGGAGTTACCAGTATGCCAAGAAAGATCAAAGAACAAGAAGTTGAAGTGAAGGTGATACAGGTGTTTTGGGAGAAGTTTGCCGTTTTGTGAGCCAACCGTTTACAATCAACCCAGCCTTTAAAGGAGAGGTATGCTCTTTCTTTTCTAAGTGAACATTTTTACTAGTCATTCCACCCACCAACCTCCCATAAAAACACCCTAGCAACGCCCTAACAACATAGCAATGTCCTTAAATCCACTAAGGACACGTCAGCAACATTTTAGATTGACTTTTTAAATCCTTTCAATTTCATTTCAGCTTTTATCATTTAAAAAATAAATAATAATAAAATTAAACAGACACACAAGCACACATATACATGTAAAATTAATAAATAATATAAATGTAAAAAATCAATATCGAAGAAATCAAATCGAATAATAACAATAAATAAAATTGTATATATGAATATAATAAATATACTCTTACTTTCTATATGTTCTAATTTGTAATTATAATTAAATATTGTAATAAAATTATACAATATATATTTCAAGTAGTATATTTCATATATATACATTTTATATTACTTGCTAATTTGTTATTAGAATGAATTAATTACTCAAATAAAATATAAAAAAATAAATACAAAATTATAATTAAATAAAAAAGTAAATATAATAACTAAAATAATATATATATACACACGCACACACACGCACGTACACACCTTTTTAAATCTTAGTCTCAGTTTAACACTGTTCTCAGAAAATTTGTTACACAATACAACACTGTTGTTTAGTAGGTGGTACGTGTGTATTTATAAAAAATGTCACATGCTCTAGTACTGAATTCCTCCTACGGCACATCTTGAAGGAAGACAGCTAGTGAGTCATGATTTAATTAGAAGTAGGTTTGAAAGATACAGCCCATGGCAGTATTTAATACCAAGAAATGTTAAACTGTCAACTTAAAAAAAAAATTAGCTTGAACTTCATCAGCTCCAGACAGCTTCCATCATAACAACCCAGCTGACATCAACAGCTTACAATTTCATTGCTTCTTAGTGCTGGTCTAGATGGTGGATCAGCACTGGCATGCTGTGCAACAGCTGGTCAGGCTAGTCAACCTGCTGTTTAAGTAGACCAGCACCAAAAACACAACATGCTGGTCTTTTGAGCAGGAAACAGACTCCTACATCACCTAATACAAGCACCTGGCTGGATTGAATTGCCAGGTGTGTAGTTTCACCTTCATCTCACCAGGAACACACATGTAAGCGAGCACATGAATTATGCTGTAATATTTGGAAAAATGTCAGTGTGAGACATGTTGTAGGATGGAAAAATCGCTGGTTTAGACATTGCACATTTTAAACACAACCTGTCTACTATGTGTACAATGTCAGACCAAAACTACAAAAGTCTCCATTTATTCTCATTGCTGTCTAGGAGAAGCAGTTGAGATATTAAAGTAAGCTTTTTGTCATTTTTCTCTTCTACAGATCTCTGTGTCCTGTTGTGGAACATAAATTCTGGTTTGGGAATGACAGGTTTTTTTCCCCATTCTAAGTAGAAAACTTTTTCTTTCTTTCTTTCTTTCTTTCTTTCTTTCTTTCTTTCTTTCTTTCTTTCTTTCTTTCTTTCTTTCTTTCTTTCTTTCTTTCTTTCTTTCTTTCTTTCTTTCTTTCTTTCTTTCTTTCTT